GGCCCGCACGGGCTGGGCGGGCTCCGGGGCCCCAGGGCTGCCGGGCCGCTCCCTCCCCACAGGGACGGGCCCTCGGAGGGAGCCCGGGGGCCGCCCTGGGCACAACCCGCGGGGGCTGCGGGGCAGCCTGTGCTGGCGCTGGGCCCTGTGCCTACCGACCTCCCGGGCAGCGCCGCGCAGTGCTCGGAGCTGGCACCGTCAGATAGTACAGTAATTGCGGAATTTTCTGTGCCTGCTAAGGATTATTTTCGATTTGGAGTTTTGGATCCACAGCTGGGAGCAATTCGTGTATTAGCAAAGGGCTCTGAAGCAAATTAGCAGTGGTGGGTGGAGGGAAATGCTGACGCTTCTCAGGTGAAGATGTCTTTTAGAAAGTCCCATTTTATTGGCAGAGCTTTTGTAATTCAGTTAAACTGTCCCAGTGAAAAAGTAAGTTGGCAAGAAATAACTTAAGAGGTGTTTTATCTGGGTGTTTATTTATGTCCGTCACTGTCATACCAGTGTCCCCAGCTCTGGAGGCCAGACCTTGCCCATATCAGTGCCACAGGCCTCGGGCCGCTGGGGCTGTTCAGGGCTTGTTCAGAGCTCACTGCTGTTGCCTTGCTGCTGGTTGCACCATGAGGAATGTGGAAGCCATGAAAGGGAGCTAAAGTTGAACTCAGCAGGTGGTGAGTAGTCGAGACTCGAATAATGTTGGGAAACATCTTTTGCTCTTGGCTGAGCAAATGCCTTTTAACGTAGTGTGTGTTATGTCCTAATTTTAGAAACAAACCTTTTGCAAAGAGTTACCAGTTAAAATGTATGGTTCCCTGACAGGTGACTGTGCTGCAGTTAATGCATCATCCTGTTGCCCTCCATTGATTAAGAGGCCTCTGACCATGTATCATTTAGCTGTGCAGGGACACCAGTTTTGTCAGGCTGGAATTGAAATTTGTGGGCTCAAAATCACATGCGCACATTCCACATGTTGTAATCTGAGTTATTAGGTAACTTATGTGTTTCTTTTTATGTAAACTCTTCAGCTAAAATAATGCCACAAGATATCAAAATAACTGTGCTCTCGGCACCCTAGTCAGCCAGTCACTGAGCAGCCAGTTATGGGTGAATAATGAAGCTTCAGGTAACGTGTATCTCTGAGATTCTACAAGTGATACCAATATTTGTCCTTTGGAGGACAGGGATTTACAGATCTGTTGGCACTAAAATGGAGGGTAGTGTTCAGGTTGGCCAGGAGTGCTGAGCTCTGTTCTGACACATTTGGTTCTCCCTCTTTGTGTTTTCTGTCTTGCCATCATCTTTCTGCCCCACTCTAACGCTGTGCTCTCCTTACCTGTGATGCCTCTCCCAGAGTAACACTGGCCTGTTGTGTCTTTCTCTGACAACAGTCTCTGATCAGGCCCTCTCCTTGACTTTAATGGATGCTTCATTCACCAAAAGCACAGAGAGCAATCTCTAATGGCTGCAGAACTGACGCTGGATGTAAGTGTCACTCACGTGACATGAAGTGTTAGGGGAGAGCCTCAGATGTTAATGGTGACTGAGTAGACCGAGGAGCACTGTTGTTGACACTTCAAACTGCTGGTTGCAGTACAGTTCTGAGTGCTCAGTGCAGCTCTCCAAGGTGCAAACACAGTCCAGAGCACAAGGTGAAATGCGTGGGCCTTGTCTCAGTGCCTGCTATGCATTAGCTCAAGTTAGGAAACCCCCATGTAGTTGGGTGTTTTTTAGAAGCATGGACACGCAAAGCTCCTGTAGTTTTTGGTTGTAGGTTGCATAGCTTGCTGTTATTTCTTATCCCAAGTGTCCCACAAAGATGTATGTATTCTGTTTATTAATATATTGAAATTGTACAGTGTGCAGCTACCCGTCCCTTTGTTGAATGCTGATGAGAAACATTCCATGTTCCCAAAGGCTCCATATAAATAAAACAAGACAAATGTGAGCTGGGATGCAGGACAGCTGCTAACAGCAGATGAAAGGAGAGATGTAAGATGGTTGCATCAGTGGGTGGTGATGTAAAGGGGACTCTCAGATTCCCTACCAGTGCAGTAGAACAGGTGGGAGAGACAGCTGTCGCTAGAGAGGGTTTTTTTATAATGTCTTTTATCATCTTTGGATCACTGAGGCCACTCACATTGCTCCAGTCCCTCTTATTTCTTCCCTGATTCCTTTAGGAAATAGTATTTTCTTTTAAAACTTTGAAAGACTAGTTCTTTATAGAAAGTATTTTTTCCTTTCAGCTCTCTTTTGCCTTTCCTGTCTCTTTCATAGTACTGTGCCAAACACAGCTAAATTGAACTTCTGCAAAAATAGCATTTGCACTCATGTGTAGACTCAAAGCTTTAAGAGGAGTTGCAAGCTACTCAGCTCAACTGAATAGAAATTGTAACATGTTGAAGCCACAAGTCCAATGCTCATCTTCTGGAAATTCGTAGGAGAAGCTTGTAGGAGCACTACAGGAATACTGAGTTGTGAAATAACAGCAGTTATGATAAAAGAGTGATTTGTTTTTGTTTTGTCAGAAAATTTTCCATAAGCACACTGGGAAGAGAACAGCTTTGTAGCAGGGAGGTGCATGATTACATAGTAAGAAAATCTTTCTAACTTTCAGAACAGTTAGCAGAGTTGTAAGATGCTGAAGATGTTGGATCTCTGAAGTTAGAGATTTTTAACAGATTATACTGATGTCTTTCAGATTATTTAATGTTGTTTGCACAGCCTTTCTGTGCAAAGGTGGGCTCCTGAGGAGCCTCCCAGACCTGTTTGTTGGTGACTCTTAAGTCACTGCATCACCTTTGTTAGACAAGACATCACAGTTGATTGGTTAGTGCTGTGAACAGGGGGTTAAAAGCCCTTTTACTTCACAAGTAAAACCAGATTTGGTCATTTACTGTGAATATTTCCTTAAATTATACAGGCTGAACAGCTTCTGTACAAGAGAGATTCAGGACAAGGATTACAGGTATAGGACATATTTCAGCATGGAAATAGATATGTACGTTGACATTTTAATGGAGTTTTCTCATCATAGATCTAGTTTTAAATAGATCATGTCCCTCGCTGTTCCATGGGTACCAGTTTTTGTTGTGGTGATGTGAAAGTGTGTTTGATTTTCTAAAAGCGAGGCTTCATTTACAATTTGTGTGGAGCCAGTGTTTGAAGATGTTCTGTGTGAGAAAGCAGCCTGCTCTCTAATGAGAGATGAGACCCGTGGGATCCACAGCAGTGACCAATCAGGTTGTGGTTCCTCCTTGTCTTTGTAGCTAATCAACTTTGCTATTACATGTCTACGTCAGTGTGCCTTTGCCTCAGGAGGTCCCTGGAGTACAGAGAACTGTTGGCTGGGAAAGTCTTTCTACCAGCCTCCCATGTTCTTAGTTTTAGATTTCAGTTCCATCTTCCACAGCCATAGTGTGTAGCTGCATTCCCTCTGGTGGGAGTGACTGGAGGAAAATTGATTATGGATTAGTGAAGAAGCCAAGATCCCCATTGTGCTGCGAAATGGCTGTGAATTGGCCTTTCTCACTGAGCTCCTGGCGTGAAGCAGGGTATTGTGGTGTCCATCTCAGACTAGGGATCCACAGCATTCTGTTCTTTTGCCTGTTACTTTGACCCTACAGCTCCCCGCAGAGCTGTGCTGCTGAATGCACCCATCTATCAGACAGTGAAAAGAGACCTCCCTGTGAGATTCTTGACTTTCTTTTGTAACAGACACTGTCTTTATAGAGACCATTTTAATCATGGCAGGTCTGGAAGAGGAAGTCCTCAGTTTTCCACATAACATAGATGTACTCAAAAGTTAGACTTGTGATATTTCCATCTGATAAGCCTCAAAAAAATATAGACACAACTGCCTTACAGCTGAGCTTGTACCAGCAGCATTCAGTGATCCCCAGTTGGAAAGCTGCCTCAAGACAAAAAATATTTTGCCAAAGAATACCTGATGTTTAAGTGGAAGCTGTTTTACAAAACCAAACATGAATGTGAAAGTTGAATTTCACTTATTTTATTCCATGATGAGGGGTTTCAGGAAGGCTAGAAAGGGAGTCAGGGCTTCATAACATTTGTGGGGGAAGTGCCCTTCATTCTCATTTTCATAGCCAGTGGTGGTGCTTCCGAGGGCTGCTTTCTGGAACAGCTGCAAAAGGGAGCCTCTCAAGACAAGGAGGGTTGTCTGCAACATTTACGTTCTTTACACGGTTCCATCTCCCTGGAAGAATAAAAACATGGAGGTAGTTTAGCGTCACTAGTCCTGTGACTTTCAAAGATTTCTATTGTTTCCCAATGCCTATGGGAGGCTGTCAGATGAACACCACAGATACAGGCTGAGATAGTATTTTCAACACCTGACAACTGTGTAGCATTTCAGCTGTACTTTAGAAAGTATGATCATGGTACTGAGCGAAAGGCCACTTTAGTATTTCAGACTGTCAGCTAGTCAGGTGTACATGTAACTATTATGAGTACACAAAATAATGAAAGAACATCCATTGCTCACCCCACAACATCCACAGCATTGGCAGTCCCCACAGATTGTTCCAAAGAGCCCGTTCACCACCTGGATGCCACAGAGCACTGCCTGGATCCCACTCATGACCAGCAGCAAGGAGAAGAGTGTCAGGTTCCACAGGACGATGTTTTCAGGTGACTGACACCTGTCCCACAGCGTGTGGTTTGTGAGGTGTTCCCTGGGGGGAACAAAACAGGAGTTATGAAGGAGATCTTGGCTCACAGAGAGGGGTCTGTCCCGGCTGAGGAGGTGTCACTGCTAGGGTACAGCTCGGGTTCTGTTGGCTTCAGCACTGCTGGAAGGCACTTATGCTGCCTGGCTGGTGCCGCCTTTCGGGAGCGTGAGTTTGTTTTGCTTTCTAGGTCAGTTGCAGCAATTGATTTGAAAAGACAAGGCAGGGGATGGTAGCAATTGTAGCTGAGCAGTTTCTGGTACTTAGAGAGAAGTGACCGCAGCCCGGCCTGTGCCCAACGCATGTAAATCCGCGCCGGCCCTTTGCGGAAGGCGCTCCCGCTGCCCATGGTGCTCCCTGCGGGACGAGGCGGCGCTGACCCCTGGCGGCAGGTCCTGCCCCGCGGGTCCC